CCTCATTGTTGTTTTGATTTGCATCTATCAGATGATTAGTGACTTTGAGCATGTTTTCATATGTCTCTTGGCTTTCTGAATGTCCTCTTTTAAAAAGTGTCTATTGAGGTCCTTTGCTCATTTTTTGATTGGATAATTTATCTTCCTTTTGTTAAGTTGTATGAGTTCCCTATAAATGTTGGAGATTAAACTCTTATCGCTGATAACATTGGCAAATATGTTCTCCCATGCAGTGGGCTTTCTTGTTTTGTTGATGGTTTCTTTTGTTGTGCAGAAGCTTTTTATTTTGATGTAGTCCCATTTGTTTATTAATAAGGGGAGCAATGAGCAGCAGCAGCTTGGCCAGGCTAACCTCTTGACCCCTTTGCTTCAAGGTCCCCTGTGCTCTGACTTCTCAGTGAGCCAGAGCAGCCCAGCCTAGGCCCTCCCGTTACTCCTTCTATGCACCTTCCTGGTTTCTCTGTCCTGTGTTTTGTTTTTTAAATATATTTTATTGATTTTTTTACAGAGAGGAAGAGTGAGGGATAGAGAGTTAGAAACATTGATGAGAGAGAAACATCTATCAGCTGCCTCCTGCACACCCCCTACTGGGAATGTGCCCGCAACCAAGGTACATGCCCTTGACCGGAATCGAACCTGGGACCTTTCAGTCTGCGGGCCGACGCTCTATCCACTGAGCCAAACCGGTTAGGGCCCTAAGTGTATTTTTGCTGTGGCCAACAAATTCCTACTTGCTTCGCTGCACTTTGTGTCTTGACTGAAATCTCTCCTTCAAGGGGACAAGGTCTTGTGGTCTCACCAGTAACAAAACCACTACAATCTCACCCTTGAGACTCTGCCACAACCTCCCCTTCCAGTCCAGAATCTCCCTCTCTCCACTCACTGCCTCATACCCAGTTTATTCCAGCATTGTACCTCCTAATATTCCCGAGTCTGTACACTTCTGCCGCTCTCTACTCCTAACCACCACCATGGGTAGCCTGGGCCAATGCCTACCCAGGGACATTTCAACAACCATACTTTTCCCTCTCCCATGCATTTCCCAAGCTGCTCACTGCAATCTCTTTTAAACGCAAGCACATCATTGCTTTCCCTTGTCACCTATGTTCCCACATGTTGGTCTCCACATGCCTAGTTCCTCAGACCCTTTGCTCCAGCAGATTTCCATCCCTGGAATACTTCTCCCCGATCCTACCAGGGGTTGCCTCCTTTTAACCTGAAACATCTCATCTCAAGTGTTGGCCCTTTAAGAGGTCTTTCTCCATCACTCTGGCAGAAGCACCCACTTGCACTGCTTTCTACAGCATTTTTCTAGTTTTCTCCTAGCATCTTTTACCAGAGCCTGGCATGATTTATCTGTTTGTTAACATGTTTGGTGTCTGTCTCCTCCACTAGGACGCAATTCCTGGGTGGGGATTCCACTTGTTTTGTTCAAGGTTGAATCCCCATTTGTAGGGAGCAGCTCTAGGGTGGAGCCTCGGGCTGACCTGTGGCAGGGCCACAGACAAGTCCCAGCCAGGAAGGCAGAGCTCTCCTAGCATAATTAAGCCTGACCTTGTAGTCCTCCCTCATTCCTTCCTCAGTAGCTAATGGGCTGTGGGAGGTGCAGCAAGTGTTGCCAAAACAAGAACATTTGTATGCCTGTTCATCTACCCTTGTTTTAATGAGACTATAAAATAAAGCATCGGTTTGCAGGCTGGATCCTTTTGTGTCCTCATCCAGGCACGGGAGATTCACCGAGCCCCTGCTGTATTCTCTTGTCTGTCTTTTCCTCAATCCTTCACTGCCCCTCCTCAGGTTCACCCTTGGCCATGCTGGCACAGCACACCATTGCACAGAATAAATATATATGGACTAGCTCTGTAAAAAAACTATCAAATTCATGGAGATAGAAAGGCAGATTGTGGTTTCAAGGCAGGGGAATGGCAGGTGGAGAATGGAGAGTTACGGGTACAGAGTTTCAGTTTTGCAACATGAAAAAAGAATGGTGATGATGGTAGCACAATGATATGAATATAATATATTAATGACACTGAACTGTACATTTAAAAGTGGTTAAGATGATAAATTTAAGTTATGTATATTTTACTTCAATTGCTCTGAAGGTCAAGATCAAGACCCTGAATTGTTCTGTGGGATCCAGCAGCTCTGCCCTCCTTAGTCCAGCTCCTCACCTCCATGGGCTTCTCACCGCAGCCACCCCAACTACCTTCCACCTTCTCTGCAGCATCTGACTCCTTCCACCCGGGGCTTTGGGAGCCGTGCCTCCTCTTCCTGGGACAGACAGGTCTTCACACGGCCAGCTCTTTCTCCTCGCTCGGCTCTCAGGCCAGGGACTCCTCATCTGAAGGTGACCTTCACTCTATTGTCCTTTCCTACTTTCTTCATGACACTTCCCACTAGCCAAAGCTAATTTATTTCCTCCTGTGTTGTCAGCCTCTCCCCCAGCATTTGAAGTTATGTTAGTTAGGGATACTGTGTGTTGTTCACTGTGCTTTCCCAGGTGTTGAGAGGTGCATCAGCATCCACTAGGCCAGTGGTCTCAACCTTGGCTGCACATTAGAATCACCTGGGAATCTTGTTAAAATCCTGATTTCTGGGCCTCATTGAAATCAGGATTTTAAAAAGATTCCAGGTGATTCTAATGTGCAGCCAAGGTTGAGAACCACTGCATTAGGCATTCGAACAGTTGCCGGGTAACAATGAATAAAACATCCCTGGAAGGTAGCAGCTACTATTCCCATTTCACAGATAGGAAAATGGAGGTCCAGAGAAGTTTTTCCACCTGCCCAAGGTCCCATAGCTTATAAGGGGCAGAGCTAGAATTTAAAAACAGGTTTGGCTCCAATCCGTGTCCTTGGTGCCCCAGCTCTTCTCGCTGTTCTTCTCCGTGTCCCATTCCTGTGAGCTCCATCATCTTTGTCAGAGTCCTTGAAAAACCCGTGCATCTTGTCACAGAAGCTGAAGCAGCAAATGCGTTAGCCTGTTGCACACACACGTACACACACAGATTTGCACACTCATAGACATGTGCAAACAGACATACACATACACAAATCAAAGTCAGCTCTTCTTTCCTAATATAAAATCAACCTCATTCATCCAGATTGTTGACAAAATACAACAGAATGAATACAGCTATTCCAATAACCGAGTGACAGTAATTGGGCCATGGTTAAAGAAAATGCTTATTCATTTATTTGTTCATTCACGCACCTATTATTTATTATGCTCTGGGGGTTCCAGTGGACAGTGGATGGGGGAAAATAGGCCAGGTGGAACCACACACCCATTTGGCTAACACACATCAAGTGCCCTGTTTCAGTGCTTCTGAAAGGACCACCTGCACCCACTGTCCCATGAGCGCCTTTCTACCCCTACTTTACAGATGAGAAAGCATGCACAGCCCTAGCTGGTTCGGCTCGGTGGACCGAGTGTCAGCCTGAGGACTAAAGAGTCCCAAGTTTGATTCTGGTCAAGGGCACATGCCTGGCTCGGTCCCCAGTGTGGGGCGTGCAGGAGGCAGTCGATCAATATTCCCCCTCATCATTGATGTTTCTATCTCTCCCTTCCTCTCTGAAATCAATAAAAAATATATATTTTTTAAAAAATAAAAGAAAGCAAGCACAGACAGGTTGAATTGATGAAGGCCACACAGCTGAGCTGCAGTAAGAACCCAGCTGTAACTCCCAAACCCATTCGCTTAACTTCTCAGTGTTATATTATTTCATTCTTTTTTTTAAAATAATATTTTATTGATTTTTACAGAGAGGAAGGGAGAGAGATAGAGAGTCAGAAACATTGATGAGAGAGAAACATCGATCAGCTGCCTCCCTGCACATCTCCTACTGGAGATGTGCCCGCAACCCAGGTACATGCCCTTGACCGGAATCGAACCTGGGACCCTTCAGTCCGCAGGCCAACGCTCTATCCACTGAGCCAAACCGGCTAGGGCTATATTTCATTCTTGACCGTGTTTATGTTCCTCCCCCCAGGACTGGAACAGCAAGAGCCTTGCTTGCTACTCAAAATGTGGCTTGTGAGTCAGCATCATCAGCATCACCTGGAGGCTTGTTAGAAATGCAAATTACCGGATTTCACCCAGACCTATTGTATTGAAACCTGCTTTTTAATAAGACTCCAGGTCATTCCTGTGCACATGAAAGTTTGAGAAGCATGCTCCACATCACTGCTGAGGTCAAACACAGAAAGCAGAGTAATGTTTGTATCTCCCAACAATTTTCTAAAGAGTTTTCCTTCTTAGCATCCTTATTTTTGGAGGGAAAAACTCAAGTGCACCAACAGTGACGGTAATAAACCCTAGTGTCTGCTGCCACCTTGTGGTGAGGGGTTTCAACCCAGCCAGAATGTGCTCTTTTCCATTAAATAAATGGGGAAATGTTGGGAGGGAAGGGTGGGCCAGGTACTCAACTTTTTTAGCCAAGTGCTTTGAGAGAACACGACAAACGTCCAAGATATAATAAAATAGTCCTTGGAGGTGCTGTGAGGTGTGCTGTGAGAAGGCCAGGTAACAACCTGCCTTTTCATGTGTGTCCCTGGGACTGAGTATGGGCAACTCTAGTTGAGAGATTTAACAAAAGCTGGATCGTTGGTATTGCTCCTATAGCTTCTTTCCTCTTTGGAATTCAGCATGCACAGCTGACTGTGATAATCATCACCAACCCAAACGCCTGTGGTTAGATAATCAGGTCCACGTTGGCCTTGCCCAGGAAGCTGCAACACATTCCACAAAGTGAAAAGGAATGTCCCACCGCTTTGCCAAATGCATCATTGGGACCTGGGTGAAAGGATGACCAAAGCCAGGCCCACGAGTGATGTCTCTAACACCTGGAAGGGAATAAACAAGAGATTTCAAAAATCTGCATATTTTATCCCAAGCAGCCCAGCAGTTCAAACTGCCTCAGTCCCTGAATAATTTTGCTTTGAAGTTTCTGAGCTCAAGCAATCTCCAACAGCGACTGCAGGTGACGCTGACAGCAATGGACCGCCCTCAACTCCATCGACCGGAGTCCTTCAAGTTCAGTTGTGGGAGAGCTGGCCAGTACCGAAGGTTTCAGCAACCAAGAGGGAAAAACAGCTCATTCAAAAGGAAGGGGATTGAAAGGTAGGAAATTGGGACTCACTTTCTTTTTCACTGAGTGGGATTCTTTGGATTTTGCATTAAACCGTATTCACTGTGACATTAGAAAAGGTAGCATCTCTTTTTAGCATTGCGTTTGGAAATGAAGGCTCTGTGTGGGCTAAGGAGAGGGCACTGCATTTACACACTAGTCAGGAAGCCTCATTTGGTGATCAGCAGAGTCTTCGCTGTAGTGGAGAAAAGCTTTCCTTCCACCTGAATTTGAGTTTGAATGTGGCATATGACAGCCAAGTGAGCACTGGTGGTCATTTCAGCCTCGGGATTTTAGACATCGCACATCCCATACAGATAGCATTGTTCCGAATACTCAGTAGAACATCCCTCAAGATGAGTCCATGGTCCATGACTCTGTTCCTTCTCCAAGCAATTCTCCTGCTGAAATAAGTACTGATTATACCTCACTTATGTGCATGCTCTTTAATGTAACCTAAAAATTGTCTCATACCTCATATTTCTTGCCAATGGTGAAACCATAAACACGGACATGAAATATTCCAAACACGATACATTTTAATTTGGAAAGTCAGTTAGATGATTTATTTTCCATTTCTTTTGGCTTCTTTCTTACCAGGGTCATTAGCAATAGCTCTGACATGCAGAAAACAAGTGTTTCATGAGGCCAAAAGCATCAAAGACTAAACTTTTGAACTTTCGTGGACAAAATAACATTTTGCAGAGATTTCCACTTTTAAGAAGAAATGGGGGTTGAAGCAATACAACTGAACACATTTACTTCTAACCAAGAAACTTTAAAACTTAAGAAGGGGAGTATTCTTTTTCTAACAGAAATTTCAGCAGTTCTATTCCTAGGCCCTGAAGCAAAATCACCTTTGTTAATTGTTATAGGTTCGGAGTGAAGGTGGGGAGTGATGGGAGTGGGAGACACCTAGGCTTTTTACCTGAGGGGTGGTTTTCAATGTCCCTGGACCTCCTAAAACGTATTTTCATTGTTTTGTGTTGTGCATGTGTGTATTTGTGGTAGTTGGAAAAGATGGCTTTATTAAAAGATTCTCAGAGGTGTCTTGGGAGATTAATCCTAGCCCATATATGACTTTTGGGTGAGTTAGAACATGATACTCCCTCCTCAGGACACTTTACTGCCATGGGCTAGAAAGTTGATAGGAGTAACTATACACAACTATAATGACTAAATGTGGACAGCACCCCCTAGAGGTTGTGTGTGTTAACTGGCCGAACTCCTCTAACCCAGGAGGTCTCCCTCCTTGACTTTTACATTTTCCCACACAGATCTGATCCACTTGGTACTAAAAGTTATAGATTATTGAATGTTTTGTTAGGTACCAAGCACATATGTTACTTCCTTTTATTTGCACATTTCTAAGAATAGTATAGCAATTTGAAAATAAGAAAACTGAAGCTTATAGAGTTAAATAACATGCCCAAGATCACACAGGTAGGAAGTGTGGTGCTGGGTTGAACAAAACCCTTTAACACTGGTTCCTGGGCTCTGACTGGCATGCTGCCCACGTATGACAGAGAAACTCACTAATTTAGGTCCAGTTCTGAGCAGGGTTCTCTGGAGTGTGGTATGTGTGCTGCTGGTGGGACATGAGATATTTCAGGTAGTATTTGAAGGATATTTTAATGGTTATGAATTTATTTACATCCACATTATATATATATTACATGTATTATCCTATATAATAAAAGCCTAATATGCAAATTGTCCCCTTGACCAGAAGTTCGACTGGGAGTTCGACCAGGGGACGGGGCCAGCTGGCCAATCGCCCGCAGCCCCTCCCCCTGGCCGCCCCTACCCCAGCTAGTGGCAGCGGCAGCTGGGGGGAAGGGAGGCCCCAGCTGGCAGCTGGCAGCTACCAGGGACCCTACTGCATTTTGTGCACTGGGCCTCTAGTACATCTATATATATAAAAGCCTAAGCGACCGAACTACTGAACGACCAGTCGATGGGTTGCTATGATGCGCACGGACCACCAGGGGACAGACGCTCAACGCAGGAGCTGCCCCCTGCTGGTCAGTGCACTCCCACAGCGAGAGTGCTGCTCAGCTGACCTACGGGTGCCAGATGCTGGGCTCACGGCTGGCGAGCACCGCTGCAGTGGTACAAGCCTCTCCTGCCTCCACAGCAGTGCTACTGAGTGGCAGCAGCAGCAGGCCAGAGGGGCCGGGATGAGCAGGAGTGGCACGGTGCCTGGCCCAGGCTCGGGATCAGGCTCCTCCCTGGCCTCCTGCTGCTTCGTGCACTACTGTATCCCTCGGGAGATGTCAGACTGCAGGTTTCAGCCCAATCCTCACAGGCCAGGCCAGAAAGCAGCAGTCTGACATCCCCCGAGGGGTTCAGGATTGCAGGAAGGTGCAGGCCAGGCTGAGGGACTCCACTGGTGCATGAATCTGTGCACCGGGCCTCTAGTATAACATAATATAAAACCTGGGATTTCACCCAAAGAAATGAAGTTTTATGTTTACACCAAAACCTATACACAATGTTTATAGCAGCTTTATTGATAATAGCCCCAAATTGGAAACAACCCAAATATATTTCAGTGAATGAATAGTTGACAAAGTAAATAGTCATGGTATAGTCACATCATGGAATGTTACTCAGCAATAAAAAGGAACAACTTATTGATGTACACAACAATGTGGATAAATCTCTAGAGAAATATGCTGCCTGACAAAAGTAAGTTCCAAAAGGTTATATACTGTATGAATTGATTCATATAACATTCTCGGAAAAACATAGAGTATACGCATGGAGGACAGCTTAGTGGTTGCCAGAGGCTAAGGAAAATGTGAGGTGAGTGGGAAGTGGGAGTGGCTATAAAACACGAAGGATCCTGGCTGTGTAGACACGCTCTGTATCTTGATAGAATCAATGTCAACATGCTGGTTGTGATAATGCATCATAGTTTTACAAAAGGGGGAAACTGGATAAAGAGTACAAGAGAATTTCTCTTTTAAAAATGGGCTTAAAATATTATTTCTTATAACTGCATGTGAAACTACAATTATCTAAAAATAAAAAGTTTAATTTTTTAAAATCCATGAGATTTTATGAATAGTATTGCTTTGGGTGAGACTAACAAAAAACCATTAACTGAGGAAGAATATTAGGTAAATGCTGGTGTCCTGGAGGGGTGGTGCTCACTCTAGCACAGAGGATTAGCATGCAGACCTTGGGATCAGTGCCTGAGCAGAAGTCATTCAATCTGCCCAAGCTTTCATTTCATTTGTAAAAGGTAGGCAGCCATATGAGGGTTAAATTAGGTAATACGCTTGAAAAAAGTAGAATGTTTAGCACAAAGAAAGCTATTAAGAAATTGTATCTACTTTTATTACTAAAATATGCCAAGATGATGAAGATAGTGTACGACTAGTTGGCATTTTGGAACTATGTGTTCAGAATTCTTCTCTCTAAATGAATGTTCTATGTAAATGCAGCATTTGTGGAACTGTGGAGACTATATTCTTTATTGACTGGCAGGCTCTCATCTCTCACCACTGTAGCCTTAGAACTACCATATCCAGCAAAAACTGTCTCATACCATCACTGAGATAAGATTGCCAATTTGCCAATATGAGGTAATACATTCTAACATTCACACACCAGGATTAAAATCTGCATTTGTGCCTAGTTAATTGCGTTACCCACTCTCTGTATCCGTTTACTCATTAGTAAAAAGAAGATGATCGCATTACCTGCCTGCTATGAGGATTCAGTGAGGCGGTGGCCAGAATGCACTACTACAGTTTGGTGACAAGACACCAAGCAGTTGCTTTGGCTCATTTTTCTGTGATTTGATTCTTGGAATTGTGTAGTTTGTTCACATTTGCCACTTGGATTTTAATGATTTCAATGTCCCGTTTTTAACTTTTCAATTCCCTTAATACAAATTATTTTTCTTTTTATTAGATGGCATAAAGCTGTGTCTACCAACTTGGTAAAACAAAATGTATTGGTCCCCAAAGAGGAACCGTCCAGTGGCAGCGACATGGAATTTCATGAAAGCCAGCAAAGTCAGAAAAAAAGTGTGATGAAGAAAGTGAAGACCTTCGTCGGGAGGATGCTGTCAGCTCGGCACAGACACAAGCCAGCCGGTTCGGGCGCCACCAGCCCCCAGGAAGCCCTCCTTCCCCACCCGCAGAGCCTTCTTCCTGGAGGTGCCCAGGAGCTGCCGCCGCCCAGGCTCCGCTCCACACCGAGGACGAGAAAACTCCCACAGAACGGTAATCATGGGCACTGCTAGCTAGGTGTTGAGGCCAAGAGGAGTAATGCAATTGGGATGGATTTTCTTGCTACTCAAAGTATGGCATGTCAGGGAGCTTGTCTGAAATGCAGACTCCCAGGCCCCACTCTGTTCTACTGAGTCAGTATCTGCATGTTAGAAAGATCCGCAAGTAACTCTAGGATGTACATACAGTTTGAAAAACTCTGAATTAGATTGCCTTTGAGGTACTTCCCAGTCCAACTGATCAGTGGGTTAGTCAGTTTATAGCCCCTTTTTATTTAAATATATATGCACACATAGATGAATATGTGCACGCATAGGCACATAGATGAGTATGTGCATGCATAGGCACATAGATGTGTATGTACAGGCATAGGCACATATGTGTATATGCATGTGTGGACACATATGTGAGTATATGCATATACACATACACATATATTATGCATATACACATACACATATATTAGGAAATCAAACTAAAGTGGGATTTTTGGGGTTTGTTTCTGGAGAAAGTAGTGATGCGGTCTTTCAAATGGCTAATTCCAACAGTAGAGAGTGTGGTGAGAATTCTATGAATAAAATGTATGTTATTGTGTCTATTCCCCATGTACTTTATGTAAGAATTGACATTTGAAAAAAAAACATTGTCTTTTTCGCAAGGTAGTAATGCTGTTTTAGGGGGTCCTATGATGGATAGCTAACAATACCACTAATATTTGCATTTTCCTTTGTAGATTTTAAAAATTAATAGACCTTATTTTTCAGAGTAGTTTTAGGTTTACTGGAAAAAAATAGCAGAAAATACAGAGAGTTAGTTCCACATCCTGCCCCCTCTCCTCACCCCATCCTCACAACTGATGAGCCAATATTGATATATTATTACACCAAACTCAAGTCCATAGTTTGCATTAGGGTTCACTCTATGCCCTGCCCAGCTCTATGGGTTTGAAACCACCTCATGTTGTGTCATGCATCCACCATTACAGCCTCATACAGAATAGCTCCAGTGCCCTAAGAGCCTCTGAGCTTTTCAGTGTCCTTTACAGCCCAGCACCAGGAAACATACAGCCCTGGGGTGCACGTAGGGAATCCACACATACGTTCCCATTTCTCACAGTGAAAAGGCTGAAAACCTGCTGGGTACTTTTTCTAGGAAGAAAACAACAACTGATGTCTTCTAGTTGACTGACTGTCCTTTCAAACAAATATTCTGGAAAAAGCAGTCACTAAGCATCCAAGCATCTAGCAGTCACCTGGTATGGACTGACCTGTCTATTTCTGTTGAAAATAACAAAAAGGGTGTGCTCTATAGTGATGGAGCTGCAGTTGGAGAGTCTGGCAGGAAACAGAGCCCCAAGTTCCTTTTCCTCATCTGTGTGCATCAGCTTTTGTCTTAGTTGGAATAACAGGTCTCTAAGATTTCTCCAGAAAACATGCTTATCCTTCAGGCCGCAGCTCAAGTATTAACCACCTTGTCTCAGGTGTGGCCCAAACAACCTTGCTCTTCTCTGCCAACCCTCATAATAGTTTTCAACAAATATCTGCTAAATATGTATTACATGTCAGCCACATGTTAGGGATAGAGTAGCAGATAGAACAGACATGATCCCTGCCTCCACAGGGTTACAGTGTAGAGCAGGGGTCCTCAAACTACGGCCCGCGGGCCACATGCAAATACAAATATTGTATTTGTTCCCGTTTTGTTTTTTTACTTCAAAATAAGATATGTGCAGTGTGCATAGGAATTTGTTCATAGTTTTTTTTTTAAACTATAGTCCGGCCCTCCAGCGGTCTGAGGGACAGTGAACTGGCCCCCTGTTTAAAAAGTTTGAGGACCCCTGGTGTAGAGGGACATTCCAACACGATACAATTACATCTGCTGCAGATAGAGGGCGCTGTGAAAATATGTCATGCCTCAGGAGGGGAGGAGCTCCAGAAAGGCCTCCTGGAAGAGGAAGGGACAGCTCAGCCATCTGAAGGCCACCTGGAGGCAAACAGGGAGAGAATGGGGAGAAGGTTGTCCCAGGGAGAGGGGAGCACCCAACGTCAAGAGAGCACCAGGCGTAATTAAGAAAGCGATCCTGCCAGGACTGAGGTGGCAAGGGTGTTATAAAGCCAGTTAAGAATTTTTTATACCCAAGGGTGATGAGAAACCACAGAATACTTGCAAGCTGGGGATTTACATAATCTGATTTGCATTTTTTAAAGATAGCTCCGGCTGCAGAGTGGAGACTGGGTTGGAGGAGGGCAGGAGCCAATGCAGAAGGAGCAGTAAACAGGCTCTTATGTTCAGGAAGGGATGACAGTAGCCTGGCTGGTCGGGGCAGTGGGGAGGGAAGAGCTGGGCAGTGGAGCGTGGGGGAGAGGGAGGCTTCTCCGGTTGAGCACCTATTTTGAAAGTGGACCTCCCCACCCCCGCTTCACTGAGATTAGGAGCCATGGCTCCCAGAGAGGTCCTTGTCTGCAGCCCTCAGTAGGACGAGATGACTTTAGGTGCAGCGCGCAGTAAAAACACTGAAACAGAGCAAACTGCAAACACGTCGATCCCTTTAAATACACCAAGGAAAAGTCTCATTTCCTGCCTTTTTCTCTTTTAATAAAAAGTAGAGTAACCTCAAGCTTAGTGCCTTCTGCAGCCAATAATATGGTTTTGTTTTTACCATATTAATTTTAATGCCTATGTATGGTACTGGTTTTTGATTTATGATAGTGTTTTAAGTTCCCTTTATAAATACATTCCTTGTGTTAAGAATGGGATTGCTATAAAGAAAACATGAAAGGGTTCGCATGGCTCCTGGACTATGGGGAAACTGCTAGGATGGTATGGGAGTGCCTGAGCCTGGAACCGCATTGCTGAAGAAAAATCTTAAAACGTTGCTTCAACCGACAACCAATATTCAAGGGATTGTCCTACACATCAGAGGTTACTTCTCTAATTTCACAAAGTTAAAGAGAAAAGCATCAGGCAGCAAACTGGTCTCGAAGGCAGACAGGTGACCAACCACCTTGTCAAGACTGGTTGGTGACCACTGAGATGCCAGCCCGAGCAAAGGCCGTGTGTGCAAGAGAAGGTGTCAGACAGAAAAGCAAATCCAGGTGGAATTGTTAACCCCAAGAAAAAAGCTCCGAGGCAGCACGGGATGCTGTCTCTCCAGACACTTTCTAAAGGGAGAATATGTTTACAACTGTGATCATTACAGCTTCTCTTCCCCCTTCACTCTGAGCAGCTCTCCAACTCGACGTTGTAGAAGCAGAGACGGAGGAGATCACCCGTGGAAGCACACTGCTCCGGGCCAGAACCACCCGGCGGCTGTCAGTGACATCCCTCCCGGCGACATCCCTCCCGGCAGGGCTGCACAAGGTAAACCGCTGAAGCACACTCCCCGGGACACGTACAGTCAGACTCTAGGATGTGGGAAACGCCAGGTTCTCTCCTGCCGCAAGTCCCTCACAAGAAAGCCATCCGATCTCCTGCTTGTGTAGCGATTCCAGGAATTTAGGCCCAGAAAACCGGCTAATCCGATCTGGTTCCTCCATTTCTGAGCTAAAACTGTTCAGCTTTTATTACAGTCTGGGCAACAATGGAGCTTGGAGTTTTACATTGGCGTTTTAACTGTTCAAATATCACGTTAGTGTGCTGGCATCTGGCGTGTCGTGCATGCTGCGTGGGGAGCAATCCCTGAGACAGGCTCTGCCCTGCAGACATTCTTTGAGGATGCGAGTGTACATATGTCCAAGGCAGTAGACGTTAGCTGTATGTGGCTTTCAACACCTGAAACGTGGCCAGTGCAACCGAGAACCTGAATTTTTATTTAAAATGCAAATAGCCACATGTATAGGAAGTACAGACAGTGCAACCCTAGACCATCCAGAACTCCCCAATCCAAAGCTTGTATTTATCTGTAGGTATGGAAATTTGAGCCTAAATTGCTCAAATTATTTTTTAAAATAGCCGAAACTATTATTAGTTTAAATATAACATTTACGTAAAGCTATGTTCCAGGCCCTAAGTGCTTTAACTTCTCAGGTAATTCTTACAACAGCCCTATAACGTATGGCAGTGTTCTCCTTATTTAGAGATGGCACGGAGATTAAGTAATTTGTCCAAATAAGTCAGGCTTCAAACCCAGGAAGACCTGGCTCTATAGAGTCCTTACTCTTACTTACCATGCTTAGTACTAACTGTATCATCCAATATGGTAGCCAACAGCTACATGTGACTATTGTTAATAAAATTTAAATTAAATCAAAGTTCATTTCTTTGATTGCACTAGCTACGTTTCAAGTATTCAACAACCACATGTGGCTAGTGGCAGTTTTATAGGACAGCACAGATAAAGACCATTTCCTGTCCACAAAAAGTTCTATTACATAGCAGTGCTCTAAGCCATCACTAGAGTGCAGTATTAGTTTAGAATCTTGCCTCGTTTGTGTGCAAGGTTCATACTTATTTTATTCCTATTATGTGCTTGTTAATTCCCAGTTCTAGGGCCACAAAGGTGATCCCATGGACATGGTGGTGTTTTGTGGGATTTATAGTTTAATAGAAGAGACAGACATTAAACCATGGAACTGCAGACTAGTGGGGTAAGGATAATCATTTGAACAAATGGTGCTGGGACGAGCAGATGTGGGGAATAAGATGAAATTTGATCCCTGTCTCACACCGTATAAAAAGTTTAGTTCCTGTTCAGTGATAGATATGGAAAAGGTAAAACCTTAAAACTTTTTAAGGACACTGAGAATAGCTTCATGATTTCAGTATAAAGACTTCTTAGAACACATCCCTGACCATAAAAGATGGAGCCCTGGCTAATGTGGCTCAGTTGGTTGAGGGTCGTCCCATGCACCAAGAGGTCACTAGTTTGATTCCTGGTTAGGGCACATGCCTGGGTTGTGGGCTTGATCCCCAGTAGGGGGTGTGTAGGAGGCAGCTGATTCATTTAAAAAAAGGAAAAAGATGGATATATTTGGCTATATGAAAATTAAGAATTACTGTTCATCAAAAAACATTAAATCAAATGTTCTCTACTGGCTTTAGAATGGTTTTGTTTAGCTCTCAGAATGTTCCCCAAAATATATTTAAATTAATTGCCCACATTTAAAAATTAGAATATTTCCAATAAAAATCTGGCTTTTCAGCTTTCGTTAGAAAACTAAGAAGATTTGGAAACACTAGCGCCGCCCCCCACCCCCCCACCCCCCAATTCCTCACAGCAACAGCAGGAGCCCTGCAGAGGCTGCCCCCTATGCTTGAGGCACATTCTCTCCAGTTCACACCAGCCCCAGGTTGTTTTACAAAAACTGCCTGGCCCCTCTAGGCATTTGACTTTACATTAGTGGTATCCAACCAACAGAAATATCTTAGTAATTATGAAGGGTGGTAAGTGCTTAGTAGGAAAAAGTACTGAAGTTTATGTGAGAGAGGAGAGAGTTCAACTATACACAGGGCCGGGAAGTTCTGCAAGTGACATGTGAGTCTGGGCAGGCTGGCGGGGCAGAGTGGTATGTTCAGCACACGCATTTGTAAACTCCCTCACAGGCGAGGGCTAGGACCCAGATATGGTCTCATATCCTCCTTTATGCAGGTCTCACAATAGTTCTAATGCTATTTATTAAGAGAAGAAGAAAGTGAGCCCAATTAGACCAAAGAGGGCATATTAGCCAGGAGCCATGGCCTAGAAATGATTCCTAATAGCAACACCATGAGAGCAGGTACGTGCAACCAGCACACCAGGGACAAGAGGAAAAGTACCAGGCATGTGGTGAAAAGAACCCAGAGCTTTTTTACATTTCCAGACATGTCTGCCATGAAAACAAGGAAACCTATAGAAAAAAGACCAAATTAACAACTGGATCCAGTGATAATGAGCTTTCCGGGCACTGGTCCATAACAACTCCACCTCACTGTGCTCAGCAGCCGCACAGGCAATTTCTTCTTCCGCTACGACTGACCTGCTTTTTTCCTGACACTGTATTTTCTTTCAGAACCAGGCAATCTCATTCTCTGCACCCTATAGATCTCTTCAAAGAGAGCTCTGGACACAAAGGAGATACATGGGGCGTGGAGAAAATATGAATACGGTCACCAACTTGACATTTGTTATGTGGCAAACGTTCAGTTTGTAAGAATTTGTACCTAAGCACTGTCACAAAAGTCATGCTGGCGCTTTTTTAATCTGTGTGTTTGCATCTTTGTGATAGGCTCCACGCTCCGCAAAAAAGAGACCACACTTTCCAGCACTTAGAAAGAGGAAACACGGCACGAGAAATGTCCTCCGGAAACCAGACTTGACAGTAGGAAAGCTTCAAATGCAGGTAGTGGACAAAGGCTTTTACTTCTGTTTCAGAAGCAGCAGCAGGCCAGGTTTCGCTGGATGCACAGCCCCGCTGGACAGCATGACTGTGCAGTGAAATTGATGATTGCCATTAAGAAATAATGTTAGTGGGGGCGTTTTGAAAGTGGCTGAAGGATTGCTAAAGGCACCTTGGTTGGTATTGTGTGCCTAATAAACACTAAGTGAATTCAATTAATATAAAGGCATGCACATAGGCTTCTTTTGAGAAGAAATGAGATCGTCTTTATCACTGGGTAGTAAATGTATATTTTCAAGCTGTTTGCTACGACTTGAATTAGAACAATACTTCGAATGTGCAAAATGTCCACCAATTCCTGAATTAATCTTCAGGAAAAACAACCATCCCTCAGGTTTGACAGGGTTGTCCAGCACATGGCTGCACTTCTTTGTATTTATCTGTCACAGGTGGATGACCTCATAGAAACAGTGACGGACAAGTCCATGAAGTTACTGGCCCAAAGGCACGCTGAGCTTCAACAGTGCGAGTTTCTAGGGGACGAAATTCTTCAGTCTTCTAAGCAGTTCCAGAGGATTTCCAAGAGAACCATGAGGAAGTATAAATTGAAGAATGTGTGTTTCCCATGTACCTGCTGCTGCTTCTGATTTTGTTCTGGATTGCATAAAAGTTATCTTCATAGGGATTCTTACCTTTTGGTACATAATCCTGAATAAATCCCTCTAGTGAATGAATCAGTGGGGAGGAGGCATTTTTTATAATATTCTGCCCCACAGTCCTTAAAAAATTACTTTTTTAAAAATTAATTTTTAATTCTAACTTACTATAAGCAAATTTTTGCTTCATAATTCTTATAAATAATAAAAAAATAGAAACATTAAGGCATAACAATTCTGCAAAAATATTTCTCCCATGATTGCCTTTAAATACAACAAAGTATTTAAAGGTATTACCACACTTTTTGCTTGCCCGCTGTATCTCAGTGGTTGAGCGTCTTCCTATGAACCAGGAGACCAGGGTTTGATTCCCGGTTAGGGCACATGCCCAGGATTGTGGGCTCAATCCCCCGTGTGGGGCGTGCAGGAGGCAGCCTATCAATGATTCTCTCTCATCATTGAGGTTTCTCTCACTTCCTCTCAGAAATAAATAAAAATATATATTTTAAAAAAGGTATTATGACACTTTTAATATAACTACAACTGAGCTAATTTCAAATTTTCATGTTTTTAAATATAAAAATTCTTAAAATTACAAAAATGTAACACTATTAAGGTATGATTCATGTAAAGTGTCATGTTTCTGAACTAAAATAAATGAATAAAGCTGAAACCTAACAAGTATTGAAAATGTAATTTAATACTTAAGAAAATTACAGGTGATTCAGCCTTAGTTTACTTTTAAAAAGGTCATGAATTCCTTTAAGCAAGACCATATTCATATACTATTCTAAAATTACTCTTCACTTTATCAACTTTTCTCCACTGAAAGTTATTCCCAAGGAACAAAACAGTTGAGAGGAAATATGAACAAAACATTTATTTTTTTTATTATTTTTTAAAAATATATTTTATTGATTTCAGAGAGGAATTAAGAGGGAAAGAGAGATAGAAACATCAATGATGAGAGAATCATTGGCTGGCTGCCTCCTGCACACCCCCCACTGGGGATCAAGCCCGCAACCCAGGCATGTTCCCTTGACCGGAATGGAACCTGGGACCCTTCAGTCTGCAGGCCAACACTCTATCCACCGAGCCAAACCGGCTAGGGCTGAACAAAACATTTAACGACCACATTGCTCAAGTATTAAGGAGAGAGATCTAGAAAATAATGCATATGGATTTGCTTTGCCTTTTACACCAGTGATTCTTAACATCATGGAACCTGTCCCACAATGACCATACACCACAAACATTTTGCACATATTTTGCAAGTTCACAGCCCTCCTGAAGCCTGTCCAAATACTCCACTTCTAAAGTGGTAACAATGCCTACTGGCATGGCTCAGTGGTTGAGCGTTGGCCTATGAACCAGGAGGTCACTGGTTCAATTCCCGGTCGGGGCACATGCCCAGGTTTCGGGCTTGATCCCGGTAGGGGGCGTGCAGGAGGCAGGCAATCAATGATTCTCTTTCATTGATGTTTCTATTTCTCACTCACTCTCTCCCTTCCTCTCTGAAATCAATAAAAATATTTTTTAAAAACCACACAAAACAAACAAACAAACAAAGGACAATTATACCTATTTAAAAAAGTGGTAACAATTTCCAGAAGTTGACTTTCTCATGGACATCCTAGAAACACCACCTTCTCACAATCTTCAGCTTATTTTGTAAGCAAATCAATGTTAATAGTTAAAAACTTCCTAGAATACTAATGAGCTTGAAAAAGTTTTATTGAACAGTTTTGGATGCTGCTTCCTACCTTTTAAGTTTAAGAATAAAAAAGGTATTTCAATAACAAAACAAATATATAGCGGAGTCATTTTCCTTTGTGTGAAGAAATATGAATGAACTGTACATAAACATTTAAAAGCAAATTAGTTCACTGACAAAACTTTAAATTTCTCAAGAGCACAGCAAATGCTAAACACACTAAGCTCGTGTTGCTCCTTCAATAGCTGGGGAGTGGCGAGCGCTGGCCTATGGCTTAGGATCTGCGTCCATGCTTGTTTCCTGAGCCTCCTCGACCTCCGAGAGCTTCTCATCATCTGTGATTGAGAAAGAAAGATAAAACTTTAGTCAAATTTGCTTAAATTATATGTCTAATAAATATATGAAAACGTTTATCCTTTATTAGACAGTCAATTTAAAATAAAAATGGCAAAATAATAGCCTATGACTGTAATCAGCACACACAAGTGTTTGGTTTTAAAAGTTCCATTTTGGTTGTTCTTGTGTATTCGTAAATGTGAAACTGATGTAAATAATGTAAAACTTACGTAAATAATGTAAAACTTACATGATAGATTTCACTTTAAACAAAAACCTAGGTCTTAGCTTTTCTTGAAAACAATCAGATCAGATAATACAGAAATTTCCTATTGGTTATAATCAATACCATGAGCAAGTCTACAGTTCCCCCAAAGCACCCACTATTCCACTGAGTATCCAAATATGCTTATCACTAACTACTTCACTCACTTATGGCCTGCCTGGGTCCTGCATCGTTACTTTATAGCAATAAACTATAATAAACCAAAAAAATTCCAAATCTATTACCCTTAAATTGCTCTTAATATAGACTACTGGATATGTGTTTAAATCAGATATTACTACAAATTCAGATTTTTCTGCATATATTCAGAAAGCTGAACAACATGAGTACTTTCTAATGTCATCCAACTACACTGATGTTCTAAAATTGAACGTGTACTCTCTCTTTGAGATGTATATTTTAGAAGGCATGTCCCTGGGCCATTAAAAATCCTTATAAACATTCGTTATTAAACTATTTCTACTTACTTTCCAGTGTTTGCTGAAGTTCGTGGATGGTACTAAGAAGAACATGAAACTGTTTCCGTCTCAATTCCAGCTGTGTTAACAAGAAAAAAATTAATACACATTGATCTATAAACATACATATCATGAAATCTAACATATATATGCAAATACCTTATCTTCAACACTTTCTTTAATATGTGAAAGATGCTCCAATTCTTTGCCCAGAGCTTCTAGTTCCCTGAAAAACAATAAAAGTGTTATATTTTGCTAACGGAGGAACAGAATTCATAATAACTAACTTTTTAATTACTAAGTAGTTTTTAAAAATAAAAAAAGGATGAGTTATAACACTCTATTATAATTAGACCTTTAAAGCTACGGTGATTTATTCTTAACTTCTGAGTATGCATTTATTTTCATTAAAATGAAATTTCTATATACTTTTTAAAGTATAGGAAAACATAGATAACAGAATATCAAACCCCAAGAATTGATGAGTTTTAACAACATTTTGTCATACTTATTTCAAGTTGGGTTTTTGGGAAAAGAAATAAAACATTGTAGATTTGCTTGACACACTTTTAATCTTACCCCCAGCCCTCTTTCCCAAGCCATTTTTCTTCCTTTACCACCCACTCAGGCAATCACTATATTATTCCAATCCTTTTTAAAAGTATATATTTGTATCTCTAAAGTAGGTTTACAGTTGTTCATATGGAAAATAATACAATAATTAGTAAATAATAATACAAGAATGAACTGTGTTTCTCACACTCGCAACTGTAAACCTACGTTTGCCCCACCTTACATATCTTCTGTTTTTCTTTTCTCTGATTATGTGTTTAAAAAGAGTATTTCTACTTTATTCTTTTTAACTACTATTTAGTATTACACTATATAAGTAGGACATATTCTATTTATTCATTTTCATATTGATGCATATTATATGTGTTTATTTCAGAACTACAAGCAGTATAGGCAGGAGCATTAAAAATATCTATTTAACAGTATTAGACTATGTCATATTGGCAACCTGGTCCCTCCTTTTGAAACATATTATGTATTCCTAAAAAAAATGGAATGCATAGGCCAGTATGTAAACACATATAAAGATCAGTTACTTTCCAGTAAAGCTCTAAACTTACTTTAATGTCTCATGCCTGTCTGGATGATGCTGAATCACTTTTGCCAAAGCATCATATTCTGAAAGATATAAAATTAAGGTTTTTTTGAACCTGGATATCAAAACAAAATGTATAATATCACAAGTCTTTCCAAATCACTTTCCTAGTTCATAAGGAAATGAAACGTTTTAGGAAGGAAAGAGTACTGCCAGTGTCACTTGACTCAGCTACAACTGCAATGACACACGACTTCAAGTATTCCAAGCAAGCACGTTAGCTCCTGCTTTGTTTTCCACTTGCCTTTTCATGGGCAGAATACCATAGGCCAGCAGAGGCATACATGATCTTAAGTCATTACTGATCCAGTGGATGATTCTAAAGAGGACTGTATACTATTTGCCCAGCAAATAAACCATCAGCAAGGTAAATATAGCATACCATTAAGTCCAGACCTTAGACAACAGCAAATTGTACTTCTCACTCATTCTAAAGGCAAAGATTTCAGAAACCTAGAAATGATTTAAAATTCAGGAACCTTGTTTCTGCTCCACTGAGACTTCCAGGATAAACCATGTATCTTCCGTTAACCTTTCTTATGAAATGATAAATGGCAGCATTCATTTGAAAGCCCTCAATAGTCAACAAAAACAATGTGTAACATTTAAAAAGAATTTACAATTGATTTATTAATTGGTATATCTTGCTGTAAACTCATCACCAAAACTTGACCACATGCATTTTAGACTGAATTAAAAAAACAACTTTAAAAAAAAAGGAATTGAACATCATTGTAATTATTCGTTAAAAAGTAAAATTTATTGTTTTGGAAATCTGCATATTAATTCAACAAGAGTGTGACAAACAAAAAAAACTTAAGCCATAAAAACCTACAACCCCCAAAAAACCATTAGCATTTTCCATTTCCTTCTAGTTTTTCATATATGTCACAATTCTAATTAAACATTTTATTTCTTCCTGTCTTTCTTTCAATTTACATTATAGGAGGAACAATACCTCTGCCATTAAAAATTGTTTTGAAATTGTTTTTATGGACTGCAATAAGGACATACCCTAATTTAAGAACAAAGAGAGCAAAACTTTAACCTTCCTCTTATTATTTAGGCAGCTTGTAAATATTTGCTTGCTTTGTACTTAATAAAAACTCAGTGGGCTTAAATTATTTTTTTAAGTACTCCAATTAAACAAATAAACAACAAACAAAATCCTAAATCTAGTGTACTTGTGTAAACAGCCTTTGCAGATTAACCATTATATTATTTAGGCAAAGGGGTCTGAAGACAGTAAAAAAACAAAAATAAAAAAACAAATACTTAAGAAATACTTGCATAATCAATTCAATCCAGGAAAAATAAAATTTTTTTAGCATAACCTTCCTTCTCTATTTTAAAGAATAATATAATTTTGAAGAATTAAGTTTGGCTCCTAATTCTTTTTTCTTTTTTAATCCTCACCTGAGGATATTTTTCCATTGATTGTTAGAGAGAGTGGAAGAGAGAAGAAAAGACAAGAGAGAAATATCGATGTGAGAGAAACGCATCAATTGGTTGTCTCCTGCCTATGCCCATCCAGGGCCCAGGCTGGGGAGGAGCCTGCAACCGAAGTATGTGCCCTTGACCTGAATCAGACTTGGGACCCTTCAGTCTGCAGGCCAACGCTCTATCCACTGAGCCAAACCAGCTAGGGCTCCTAATTCTTTTTTACAATTCAGGCTGATTCTAGCTGAAGATTTTACCTCACAACATTAAAAAAAAAAAAAATCATGAAAATCCTAGTCAGTAATAAAGTATTCGCACACTAACTAAATCCCACAAAACTCTTACCTTGGCGATTTTTTCGTATTCGTTTTGCTTGAAGAATCTGCTTTTTGCACTCAGCAATTTTTTCATGTGCTCCAGCAATGCTACATTCTATAGAAAAAGGTTTTTTAAAGATAGTTGTAACATCTATAATCTCCATCCATTTTCAAATTTAAAATGTGTTTTTAAATTAAGTTCCATTGCTAATAAAATAGATGCTGACATTTTTTTTAAAAATTGTAAAGTACTATATCATATTAAAATACATTTTTGTAACTGATTTTATTATGTTTTTTCTATTAATATTGTTATTGTCATTATTTTACTACTAATCAAAGAAAAATACCACAAGTATTATTTCCCTTAGGCCATAAAAATTAAAATTATAGCTAAAGATTAATTAATTTAGGTTTCTTTACCTATTTCTTTGTAAATTTTTTCATAATTTTCCATTTCTCTGAGATTCATATCATATACCAGCAAAGTTTTGCCCATGGAAAATTCACACTGGGACAGTGTACTCAGCATACGTTGGTACTGGCTGTAACTAATAAAAAAGAGAGAAAAACGGAATAAAGATTTTTGCGGATTACCAAAGTTGAACTATTTATAGTGTAGGCAAACATTTGCTAATTAAATTATATAAAGTTCTGAGAGAATCCTTTGCTTTACTTTAAATAATTTAGACTATCTGTCCCTTGTTTTCTTTCCCCAAATATAGTACACTTGAGTTTATAACTGCTTTAGTTAAAAATGCAAAGATGGTATTGTTGTTCCTATCAGTATAAGTTTAATTTAAACAGCTACTTGTTTTAAATACTTTTTTAAATGTTTTGATCAGATTTTTTGTCTTCACAATTCTTACAATTTTTTCACTCTATGTGGTTATTTGTCTATGTAAAAAGCTAATTCAAATGAGGAAAATTTTTCTAATTTAAAAATTATTAAATATGTACAAAACTTTGCAGCAACCTGTTAGCTTATTTAAAAAAAGAACATTTTATTTAGATATTTAAACACATATCTGCTAAAAGTGACTAAATAATGAGCCTGGATTTAATCTTCATTTCTTCTAGTCACTATGCCTTCTACACCTTTTAACAAATATAAAGCAGGCCTCTCCAGAGAATTAAGGCCAGAAAAACCCACTCTTGATTAACCAAGAGTTGACTCAATTGGACATTTAAGGTGGGTGAAAATCTGCAATATTATCAGAACTGTGTATAAAGCCTACACATGAGGACAGTGGCATAGAAACAACAGTGAAAAGATATACCCCTCTTCCTGGGATCCAGAGTTGCACCATTTAATGAAACTTTTCACTAGCAGATTAATTCTGCGATCATCTCCAGCGCCATCTCCATCAATTAGGAGACGCTTCCGTATAACTTCGTCTGGAGGAAAGAACAATGTGAATTAAAAGACCATCTGGCTCTTGTTAATTTCAGAAACAAAAAACAAGTATCACTACTCATTCATTCATCTGAAAGAAAACTAATGAAATGTAAATGTACTCTATGCCACTGAACTGTACACTTAAAAACTGTTAAAATGGTCAATTTTATATTATGTAGGTTTTACTACTATATATATACATACATACATATAAATAAAGCTGAGTGTCTATGTGTGTCAGGCACTATCTTAGGGCTGGGGTTACAGCAGTGAAAAGCCCAGCCCTTACAGAACTGTCATTCTACTGCTGGTTTGCTGAGTAGAAATAATTTTCAGGTACCGCCAAGGAAATAAGCTAATAATTCTTGGAGAACTTTATTTGGAAAAATCTGTTCAGACAGAAGGAGGATTGAAGTGCTCATGTCTCTGACTAGTGTGAGGTCCTCTGGTCAAAGGAATAAAAGGAACAGACGGAAGAGTGGCAGCCTAGGAAACGAGGAGAGATGGGTCAAATAAATGGACTCAGTGTTTTTTTTTAAATGTGTAATCTAGTCATTATATATGCAATGTTCTTTCCCCAAAAGGATTTTTTTTTAAAACAAGTCTGTCTCACTTTTGCTCCAAGGCAAAGAAAAAAAGGAATTAGAAAAGCAGCAGAGATGATTATGATGAGTAAGAAGTGGCCTGGCAGCCCTGAGCTATTCTTCCTGGACAAAATCATTCTGGATCAAAACAACAGAAAGACAATTTGAAACCACATCAAAATATCATTTTCATCAAGAAGAATGGCAAAGAAAAAATGACCTGATAATAGAAGTGTTAGCAAGGGTGCTGAGAAACTGCACTTACATACACTGATGGAAAGTAAACCGGTAGGTACACTCTTTGCAGGGCAACTGGGCCAAAACAAACACTATTTAAAAGGCACATTCTAGGAACTCATACTCTAGATACATGTGCACCCATGCACAAAGATAAATGTAAAGGGATGTCCTTAACAGTGCTGTTTGTAGAGGAAAGATTCCAAACGTAAACATTCACCAGGAAGAAACTGCTTAAATTACATAATATTATGCAGCCAAAAGAATAGTGTGGGTGTATATATATAACATTGCCAGAAAAACAAAACAAAACAACCCAGATGTTAAGTAAAATGCAAACAAAACAGGTGCAGAACACACAGCTTGTTGCCATTTCTGTAGAAATGGAGGAGGGCTTGGTGTGTTTGTGTTCACACATCACACAAGCGGTATGCTTTTTTATTCACAGAGTATCTTTGGGAGAATATACAAGAAACTGGTAATACTGATCATTTCTGGTAAGAGATGACAAAGGATGAGAAAAGATTTAATTTTCTAAATGGCTTTGTAGAATTGTGTTTGGTTCTTAACATGTGCATGCATTTTTTATAATAAAGTGTAAATAATTCCTGGAGAGCCTGCCTGATGAATCAACAGCAAAATCTTTAAACAACAGTTCCTGTGTGTGGGCAGCATTCTCGAGGGCAGGTGCAACTGAGATAAACTGTAGAGGGCAAATGGCTTGTTTTAAAATTTATTCTGTGACATCAGATAAACATTTTAGAATTGGGTTTTGTTCTGAGTCATGGCTTTGATAGGCTGCTTACAGATTCATCAGGTGTTTTAATTTTACACTTTAAAATACCAACTAATGCTTTGTTTTTAACCACCAACAATGCTACTTGAGGAGATGGAGACAAAACACAGTACTTGAAGAGATTAAACTGCAGAAAATGAATTGATTTTTTTTAAAAACTATAAACATGTGCCCTGGTGGTATGCTCAGTGGTTAGAGCATTGGCCCACGCACTGAAGGGTCTCAGGTTGGATTCCAGGTCAAGGGCATGTACCTGGGTTGCAGGTACAATCCCAGCCCCTGTCAGGGGGTATGTGTGGAAGGCAACCAATTGATGTGTCTCTCTCACATTGATATTTCTCTCTCCCTTCTCCTCCCTCCCTTCCACTCCAGAAATCAATGGAAAAAATATCCTGGGGTGAGGATAAACAAACAAACAAACAAACTTTGTTAAAATAAAAGTAAATATACAATGGATAAGCAGCCTGTTGTTCAATTTATTTATTAATATATTTTTTATTGATTTCAGAGAGGGAGAAGAGATAGAAACATTGATGATGATAGAGAATCATTGATTGGCTGCCTCCTACACACCTACTACATGGGATGGAGCCCGAAACCCAGGCATGTGCCCTTGACTGGAATTGAACCCAGGACCCTTCAGTCCGCAGGATGACTCTACCCATTGAACCAAACCAGCTAGGGCTGGTGTTCAATTTATACTGCTCAATTCCTTTGTCAGTCTTCTTATCTCTGCTCTTCCAATTACCTCTCCTCCCACCCCAAACCCCTTCTGCCTCCCAGATGCCTAGACATCCTACTTTATTGAGGATCAGGGATTTCAAATGTAAATGCATTCAGGGAACAGGAAAAAAGGAACAGAGAAATTGGGGAGTGACTACCCTGACTTAGGGGAAGCTATTACCAGAACGAGTTTTTCAAGAGATTTTTAAAAGTTTAGTAACAAAAAATGTTTCAAGCAGATTTTGCAATCATTCCACCTGTATACTTAAAATCTGTGCACTTTTATGTATGTAATTTCCCAATTACAAACATTTTTGAAATATGTTTAAAACACTATAAAGTAAAGGCCTAGTAAACTTGGGGAAGGGTTCATAAGGACCAGTCCTGTTTTGCTCATTCTTCTTCCTCCTAGCCTCTCACTATGTCTATATTTCTGATGCTCAATAAATATTTTAAAATTGGTTGTGGCGCCTGCCTGAGAGCATCTGCCCTCCAAAGAGAGCTTTGTCTCAATAAACCACTAGTAAGTAGCACACAGTTTCCTTATGTTCAGGTCCACAGCAGAGATTTCTCTTCTTGAACAAAAGACATGAACATTTGATCAATGAGCAGATGCATCTATAGGTACCAGAGTAAGTTCTGAGGATGTGAAAGAAAGCCCGGAGTTCTTTCACTTCAGTTAGGGAAATAACACACACATGATTGCTAATGAGTAACAGACACACAGCAGAAGAAATTAGGATGAGGGCTCCCTTTGGTTTGGGGATTTTAGGAGAAGTGGAATTTGAGCTGCTCTTTTGATATTTAAAAATTATCAACTAAAAAAGCTAAAAGGCAATCTATCAAAATTTCAAATAATATACATCCTGTGAATCAATAATCCTAGATATACTTGCACATGTGCAATATGACGTATGTCCATCAACAGGGGACTAATTAAATAAATTTTGGTACAGGAATATGATGAAATACCATGAAACTATAAAAAAGCAAAAAAAAACCAACGTACTGATACAAAGAGATCACTTAAGAAAACTTGTTGCAAGAGCAAGGTGAAGAACTGTGTGTTTGGCATGTTTCCTCCATATAAAAATGAAGGGGAATAAGAATATATATTCACATGTGCGTATAGTCACAAAGATACCCTGAAATGATATACAAGGAACTAATAAAAGAGGTTACTGAGAGAGGGGCAGTGTCAGGGGACCGGATGAGCAACAGGCTGTAAAGGGGGAAACATGCTTTTATATCATTTGATTTTTGAGCCATATGCGTACTCAAAATCTGTTAGCTGTTATTTGAAAAAGAAAGCTCTGAGGTGGTGATGGTATCATAGGTGTTTGCATATGTTCAAACACAACGAATTGTAGACATTAAATATGCACAAGTCTTTATATATTACTTATGCCTCATAAAGCTGTTAGGGAAAAAAGCAAGCAAAGGTCCTTTCCCAAGCCCCACTGCTATGGGCTGCAGCTGGATCTGGGCAGGACTGCCCAGAACACCAGGGAGGCTGGGAGAGTGAGACAAAGCTCAGGACCAAGCCCACAAAGGCCGCCGGGGGTCAGAATGGGAGTCCGCACTAGTCAAGGCTGTGCTAGTAGACTTGGACCTTGCTGGTAGGCAACTGGGAGTTTCTAAAGGCTCCTGGGCAGGACTTTCCAGCAGGATTAAGCCGAGGGCAGTGTACAAAGTGGACTACAACTGGGAAAAGGCCACAGGCAGGGAGCATGTGCAGTTAGGAGCTGCAATGGCATGAACTGAAGCAGAGATTAGTCACAGGTCTCGGGAGGCAGGTCAGGGCTGAGCAGAGACCTGGTTAGGAACAGGCGGAAGGCATGCGGAGGAGTCTGTGTGACCGGTTCTGGGAGCGCAGAGGACTCTGACCAGAAAGCCAAGGCCATTTTCTGGCTTCAGCCCTGTCCTTTCTTTTAAGAGCAGAGAGCATTTCCTCACAGCCCAACTTCTGGGCCAGTGTTCTGGTTATTCCACAGTGTTTACTGTGAGGGTGTGTATGTATGTGACCAATATTTAACTTCACTTGCAAAATGGGAATAAAACTTCGCACTTTGTAGGACTTCTGTGAAACTTTACAGAAATAAAAGAATACAAAGGAGCATAATGCCTGTTCACGAAGGAAAGCAGGGAAAAAAAGATATCCTATCTTTATGTTAAATTTAATCCACAATTTGTATCTCCTAAAAATGGTAAAAAATGAGTAAATGTTGAATATATATCATAGATAGATCAGTATACTCAGAATGATATATGCTATGCATTTATGCATAAAGTTTTGCCCAGTTAGGATCTCTCACAAATTTGGTTATCTCAAACTTCATATTGCAAGGTTACAACTTTCCTACCTTAAACTGCATGGAAGAGTTGCTGCCTAAAAAATTCTCTGGGGATGAGAATTACTGAAATCCCACATATAAAGCAGAGCACAGCTCCAAGAGCAACAAAATAAAACGAAGGGGTGAGGTGCCAGTTTAAAAACAGGCTCTGTTCTTTCTCAACTTCAAGATGGACTGCTGCTGACAGTTCCCAACACACATGACGTGAGCATTATTATTTTTAATGATACCTCATCAATTAGCTCTAGATTGAACACACCTAAGACATGTTTTGTTTACTATATACATTGACTTCATAAATTATTATCATGTTTGAAGCTCTTTATAAGCAATTTGAATGCTAATACTAATAATTCTGGCGGGCCTTGGCCCACCCTGAAAAAACAATAAAGATGACTTTAGGAACTATTTTATTGATGTTATCAACATCATTCCTTACTTGTCATAATTACTTTCTTTACTGACTATGAGGATCAACGTCATCTGGAAAGAGCTTTTAAACCAAAATGCTTAACATCTGCCCTGAGAATGGTTTTCTGCTCAACTTTAGGCCTGTAGGGAGATTTCCTACTGCATTTGGTTATATGTTGTACCATAATTATACCTATAAACTTTCTGCTATTGAAATCACTTTAAAATCAGTTATGACACCTGTATGTTGACAAGCAAATATTTCCTCATAAAATTGAGATGCATTTTAGACCCCTTCCTGTCTTATCTGCCAACACATATCTAGAAGAAACTACCCATTTTCCACAAACAGAGGCAGGAAGAAACTACTCCTTTATAGTCACTAAACCAACTCTCCGTTTCCAAGCCCTCCGGCCAGGTGACATCGCCATTTTAACTGTGTTCTCATTTTAGTGTGGAAAGACAGTCTCTCATAAACCCAGACGAATACTCCTTTCAAAACCCATAGTTGTTATTCTCCACAGTAGCTATTAAAACCTCGACTACAAAACAACTGTTCAGAACATCTAACAGCAAACATTCAAAAACGAAAGAGGAAAACAATTTGGAAGATAATAATGGTGGCCAACCTCCAAAGCATTGACTTCTTCAGGGACAGGTCCAGGCTTGATAACTATGGCCAGAACCTCCAGTTAGGACACCTCCACCTGCCCTCAAAAGTGACTCCCCCCACTGGAAGCCCTCACAGCACTGCAACCTCACCTGCTTCAGGAAATAGCAATCCTGGGACCTACCACTGAAGATGAGCATCTCCTTTAGAAGGCAAGTTAAATTTAGCAGGGAATATTGCAGGCATGCAAACCCACCGCTGGCTTTTTCCAGCCAGGTGTTCCTAAACCCTCTGAATCCAAACTGAAAACCACAGGAAGGGATAATAATTTCAGACAGGATTACAGCAAAAAACAGCTGGCATCAGGGCAATTTAGTAATATGTGTCAAAATTAAAAATACATATAGCCTATGATCTGTACCATATTCTAAAAATTATTCCTACAAGTGTGCAAAGACATCTATACAAACAGCTCCACTGTAACACTATTGGGTAAGAGCAAAAAATTGAAAATAGCTAAAAACATTTTTAAAAAGCTATGGTACATTTATACAATGAAATACTACTTGGCCGTACAAAAGAAGGAAATCTTACCCTTTGCAACTGCATGAATGGACCTGGAGAGCATTATGCTAAGTGAAATAAGCCAGTCAGAGAAAGACAAGTACCACATGATTTCACTCCAGCCAAAATGAACTAACAAGCAAAACAGTGACAGATGCATAGAGAGCAGGCTGACAACTGTCAGGTAGGGGAATGTCTGGGGGGGATGGGTTGAGCAAAAAAGAAAAAACTCATAGACACAGACAACAGTGAGGTGACTGCCTGGACAGGGGTGGGGATGAGGGTGGAAGGGTAGAGGGAGAGGGAGGAGGATATAGTGGGAATAAATGGTGATGGACGGAGACTTGACTTGGGATGGTAAACACATAATACAGTGTACTGATGATGTGATGTTAGAACTGTGCATCTGAAACCTGTATAATTTTGTTAATCAGTGTCACCCCAATAAATTCAATAAATAAATAAATAGAATAAAATACTACACATTGATTCAAAAGAATAAGGAAGGAAAAGTTCCAAGCTCTATCATTAATTGCAGAAGTATAATATAGAAGACGGTGGAAACACCTGTATAAAATTTTAAAGGACATATACATTTTGGCATATTAACAAATACATAATGCTTGTAATACGCTAGGAATTGTTCTAAGTGCTTTTCACATAAAAACACATTTAATCTGCACAATAGTCCTATAAAACAGATATTACCCTTATTTTACAGATACAGGTAAAAATACATTTTTATTTGCCCCAAATTAAATGTCACAGGAAGTAAGGAGTAGAGCTGGGACTCAAACTCAAGAGTCTGCACCAGAGAAGGTGCTTTTCACTTTTTATGAGCATTTAAATATCATTCTGGAAGGGCACACAATAGAGTTTATAGGGATGACCTTTGGGCAGTGGGTTAGTAATGGAAGGTGAGTAAAGGAAGGTGTCACATTTCTTCCTGAATTTTCTGATTTAAAAAAATATCAACAGTTGTTGACAGGTAGTGAGCTTAATGGTATATTGAGGTATTTTCCTTAATTTTTTCTGCATTAAAAAAGTTCTAATCAATGTTCTTTAATAAATCTATGATGTGTTAACGAGAAGAAAGCTGGTTTGCCCTGAGCTGTTAACAAGAGAGACCAAGGCTATGTAAAAACAATGTGTGTACAGATTCCTGTTAAATTTATCATTAGTTCCTCGCTGCTCGAGTTATTAAGCTGAAAGAGGTATATTCCATTGTGTTTGATTCCTTATAGTAAAATAACACCTAGCCCTCCTCCCCCTTTTCAAGAAGATTAAAATCATTAAAAAGAATTTTTAAGGTCAACACTATTAAGAAGACACAAAAATGGCAGGTGGAAAAACAATAAGATAATTTGATTCCTTTATGTAAATACTGATCTCTTGTGAGATACTTAGGACCAGTCTACATAAATTGCTGATGCCAAAGTAAATTACTTAAACCAAAATTAAATTTTTAAAAAACAAAAATATTGTTGAGGTCTTTTATTTTTCTCTAGATTTACTTAAATATTTAGAGTACAGTACTAATAAAGTCAAGGTTGAAATTCCAATCTTGCTTTGAGAAACCATCCATATTGGCTAAAGAAACATTATTTAATAGTTGAACTACAGCCCTAACCCTTGGGCTGGGGCCATAGCCAAGGGAACAAGGGGGCAAATTCATTGGCGCTAGTGAAAAGCAAAATGCAAAAAAAAACCCGAGCCCACTAATGTCTAATTAACATTAGATTAGCAACTGAAATAGAAACAGCAGCAGCAGACACTTATACAGTGTTTATACACTCCTACTTGATGACCAAACATCTTGTTTGATTCCTTTCACTCTGAAAAGTGTCCTGCTCTGGACAATAAAATAAATGGTCACTGAACTTCAAAGTGCTTTACATACAGTATCACACTTCATCCTTGAAACAACCCTCTAGAGCAGTGGTTCTCAACCTTCTGGCCCTTTAAATACAGTTCCTCATGTTGTGACCCAACCATAAAATTATTTTCGTTGCTACTTCATAACTGTAATGTTGCTACTGTTATGAATCGTAATGTAAATATCTGATATGCAGGATGGTCTTAGGCGACCCCTGTGAAAGGGTCGTTCGATTGCCAAAGGGGTCGCGACCCACAGGTTGAGAACCGCTGCTCTAGAGTATGTATTATTACCTTCCTTTACAGATCTGTGGTGTCACCTCTGCAGTCATAGGAAAATATAAACAATTACATTAGAAAGTCATAGTACAGGTCCAATATTTTGTCACATTGTTCTGAGGCATATTTAAAACGATTATTTCAAATTTTTATAAGCATATATCCATGCATTTGATTTCTTAAAAAGACCACTAAACTGTCAAAACCAATAAGCTCTATTAAATGCAAAGTACAGACACATCCAGCACCCCTTCCCCCCGCTTCATCTCTCATCTGTTGCTCTGGCATATCAATTTATCTACCTAATGTTCTCTGTACTGCAAAAGGGCTTCCGAAATGATTTCTATTAGGGTACTAACACTGTTTACCACCCTTTAAATTAACACATACAAAATACAAACTGTGAACATAGCTAAATTAGCAGTGGTAACATCTAAACTGCTTTCCAGTTAGCCAAAATGTTGGAGTGCAACAGGGGAGAGAGAATGGCCTTGCCAATAATTGGCTATGTGACAGTAAGTCACTGACTGCACAAGACCTCCATTTTTCCATCTATAAAATTACTGTGTTGGTGATAATATCCATAGTTCAGTATCTATAGATAACAATATGGGATTTCTCTCCTTCCCTCTGAGGCAGGGCAGTTCCTCAAATTAATCCAGGTGTCCTTGTTTTGGGTGCAGGACATACAGAGCTTGTCCTCCAGGAGGTCTTAGTTCAATTAGATAGGCAGCCCCATATGTAAGGCTTACATGCCAGGCATCTCAGAATCACATTCCTCAGAGACAGACACTGGTACTCCTCCGAGAACGTTTCAGGAAAATGACTGAGCTATGGAAGCCACCCACTTCTCAGTCTTCTCCACTGCCATCACCCTAATCCAAGCCCACCTGTCTCGTCTCTCCCTGCTCCATTTCTGCCTTCCTAGAATCCATTCTCTACACAGCAGCCCAGAATGATCTAAAAGATCTATTAGATCACTAGCTTTTTTGCTTAAAATCCTCCAATCACTTCCAAGTACCCACAGAAGACTTCATCTCCTCTCCATGGCCTGGAAGGCTCATTTACTTTTTCCAACCTCCTTCTGTGTCACACCCCTCCTGGCCCACCTCCGCCTGGCCAGCCTCCCTTATTTTCCCTGTGGGGAGAAGAACTTGTTTTCACCTCAGACCTCTGCACTAGCAGTTGCCTCTATCTGGAATACTTTCCCAGAGTCTTCAGAGTTGACCCTGCAGGGCTCACATTAAATGTCACTTTTGAGAGCAGCCATACCTGATCACCCTATTTTACCTAGTTGCTGGCACTCCGTCCCCATTACTCTCTCTTCCATCCGATCTAGTTCATTCTCAGAACTCAATTAACTTCAGAAATTAATTATGTTCTTTTTCAGAAATTACTTATTTACTGACTGATTGCACACAATTGCTTCTCTCTCCCAAGTAGGAGTCAGGCCTTCCTCTGCAGTTTACTGCTGTACCCAGCACCTGCCATCGTGCCGAAAAGGTAAGCAATAGATACTTGTAGGTGTATCACACATCTCTCTCACTTCTGCTTGATTTTTACCAAAATCTCAATGGAAGAAAACCACATTAATGAGAACTGCCTGAAGAAGTTGTAGTTCATTCTTTCCTGCATGTCTACATATCCTTAAAGCAAACAAGCAAAAAAATTTTGCTCTGAACCTGGTCAGTTTGCTCAGTGGTACAGAGTCAGCCTGAGGACCAAGGGGTCCCAGGTTTGATTCCAGGTCAAGGGCATGTATCTTGGTTGCCAGCTTGATCTCTGTCCCAGTCAGCTTTTGTGCTGGAGGCAACCAGTTGATGTGTCTCTCCCACATCAATGTTTCTCTCTCTCTCTCTCCTTCCTCCTCCTTCTTTCTCTCTTCTACTCTCTAAAAGTCAATGGAAAAGTATCCTCAAGTGAGGATTAAAAAAAATTTTTTTTTGCTCTGAATTAAGGCAGACCAGCAAAGCTATTTGCCTAAACCACACAGTCTATTGGCTTTAGAATGCTTTCTAACTTATGATTTAGCCTTCTTTGACCTAATAGTGATGTGTTAAGAAACAGCCCAATGATCTTCAGTGCTAAAAAGAAAGTTGATGATCTGACACTGGCTTTTCTCTATAAGCACCCCAAAGTCTTTTCTCCAGTGTCTAAATCACAAAAACGGCTTGTCTTGGTTATCTAATGCTGCCTTCTCTCATAGACACTAGCTCACAGAATGGACCAGCTCTTGGTATGAACTGCTAGGGAAACAAGAGCCACTGTCACTTTCTTCTACTAGTAAATGTAGCAGGCTTTACCCTAGCATTTTGAGGATCACCCTCACTTGTAACTTCTTGGTTTTCCTGGTCTCCATGTTCTTTCTGCCCTGCTTCCTCACCCATTCATTTTATGTTTACTCATTATGGTAAGTTGCCTTAAATATTTTCTAGAATAAGCTAAATACGTTAAGTATTAAGGGCTACAGCAGCGATATACATGAAATAACATGGTTACAGGTGAAAGATTAACTGGTTCTAGGAAAGACAAAAGGGGACAGATGAGGTAGGTCTTGAAGAATATGCAGGCTACCTCCAAGCAGAGAAGGGCAATCGTGAGATGAGAGGGAAAAGGCACAGTTCTCATCTAAGGAAAGTGGAGAAGAGATGAGCAAACCAGCTCTTACACTTAATACTATTTACTGAACATTATGTATCAGACTCAGTGCAAAGCACTTTATGACTTTCATTGCATTTAATCCTAAGTTTTACTATTATGCCCATCCAAAGAATGAAACCGAGGCTCAGAGAGGTTAATTAACCTGCACAAGGTCAGACAACTTGCAAGTGGTGGTGCCGATGGCCTCTCAGGATGTAGGGGGCACTTGACTGCCGTCAGTAACTTTACTAGAACTCATCTGCCCTTCTCATCTCCTGACAAAACCT